TCACATTCTCAAGGAAAACCTTCAGCACCCCGCGGGTCTCCTCGTAGATCAAGCCCGAGATGCGCTTGACCCCACCACGGCGAGCCAGGCGCCGGATGGCTGGTTTCGTGATGCCCTAGATATTATCACGGAGCACTTTGCGGTGCCGCTTCGTTCCGCCTTTTCCCAGGCCTTTGCCTCCTTTGCCTCTTCCAGACATCACGCTTCTTCACTCCAATCGCTGCCGATTGAGAGGCGAGTTGCCTCACCTTCCTTTTTTATACAGCCCGCCCCGACCTGACTGAGAAAGAGCTCACATGGAGTGAGAGGCGGCCCGGATAGTTAACAACGTGGCAGCAGAGAAATATCCAGCTCCGCCTCCAGCTTACTCCCGCCCCCAACTGGATCTGGAACGAAACCTTTTCTCCACAAGAGCAGTGAACACAACGATCAGCAGAAAATCTGCAGACTCGAGCTTCATGGTCAAAGATAATAAAAACAGGATTTTTAAAAAGTACTTGTGATACAATTAAATGACCATTTCCCGGCCTTTCTTAACAAGTCAACACGGTTGCTTCCATTTCAATGTCAGTTTCTGTTTATTCAGCTGAAAGAGAAAATCATTGCTTGGGGATTGTGTTGCGAAGCAGGGTTTCAGGGCGAGTGTTACGAGTGTTGGGGGGGGCTGGGTGTAAATCCGGTAGAGAAATGGGGACGAGTTATTCACATAAATTAATGTGTAATTTATCCCTGCACTCGGAGCGAGGACAGGGATCATTTGATCCGGGCTCAGCTCTTTCCTGAGAGATGTGGGTGGCTCTGAGAAGAGCCTTTGGATTCAGAAGGTTACATGTTGCACAGACTGCTTCATTTCTTTGCTGCTTTCTTGGTCACTTTCGCTTTGGGCTTGGCCTTCGGTTTAACCGATTTCGGGACCGGTTTTGCGGCCTTGGGGCTCTTGGTCTTTTTCACCTTCTTCACGGGAGTCTTTTTCTTAGGCGCTGCTTTCTTCACCGCTTTCTTTGGCGTTGCTGCCTTCTTGACGGCCGCTTTCTTGCCTGTTGCTTTCTTGGTTGGGGATTTCTTCGCTGTCACCTTCTTGGCCGTTGTTTTCTTCACGGCTGGTTTCTTGGCGGATGCTGCTGGTCTCGCCTTCTTTCCCACTTTTGCCTTGACTGGATTCTTAGGGAGTTTGAAGGAGCCGGAGACGCCCTGGCCCTTGACCAGAACCAGGGAGCCTTTCGCCAGACACCTCTTGATAGCCATCCTGATCTGTACATTTTGCTTCTCCACATTGACTCCGCTTCTTTGCAGTGCCTTCTTTACAGCGGCCAGAGACGTCCCCTTCCGATCGCTGCTCTCGCCGACAATCTTCACAATCCGCTCGCCCAACCCGGGACCGGCTGGTTTTTTCCTGGGAGCCGCCGCCTTCTTCTTCTTGAGAATCTTGGGTTTGGTGATGGCGGAGGATAGAGGAGCCGTTTCGGCGGCTGCACTGTCGCTCATGTCGAGAACTCTG